CGGCTCAGCTGGTGACCGGCGAGGTCAAGATTGCTGATGAGAAACAAGCGGTCTGGGTGGTCGATTCGGGAGCATCTCGCCACATCGTGAATTCAGATGAATTGTTTGTTTCCAAGAACTCAGCACAGCGCAGCCAGGTGGCTCTAGCAGACGGAAGTACTTCCGAAGTGATTTCGGGGGGTGCAGTTTTTGTTCCTTGTCTTCGTGAATGCCTGAAAAATGTACTTTGTGTGCCGTCATTAAGGAGCAATCTGATGTCTGTAGATTGTTTGCTAAAAGCTGGGTTTAAAGTGTATTTTGAAGGAGACAGTTGCATTATTAAGAAGGCTGGTGAGATTTTAGGCACTGCTAAGTCAGAGGGAGGCTTGTTTTGGCTTAAAGCAGGATCTCAAGTTGCAGCAGTAGTCAGTAAATCTCAGCCTGCAGTGAATAACAAAGCTATACATGACAACTGTGTGCACTTATTGCATAGGAAAATGGGGCATGCTTGCTGGAAAAGTGTACTAAAAATGTCTGAAGTGGCTGATGGGGGTAATTTAAAGAGTTGTAACAAGTACCTCGATTGTAATGTTTGTAAAAAGGTTAAAACCCACAGAGTCTCTTACCCCAGAAGTGACAGAGTTAGTGAGTCACCGCTACAGCTGGTTCACATGGACGTAATTGGTCCATTTGCTGTAAGCAGGGGTGGATCACGTTTTTCACTAACAATTGTGGATGACGCCACGCGTTACTCCTGGGTTTTTCCCATGAAAAATAGGGGTGACGTGTTCACTAAGTTTAAAGGCTGGGTGGCATCTGTGGAAAGATTTCTGTCCATTAAACTCAAAAGGATTCAGACGGACAGAGGTGGCAAATTTATGTCAAATGCCTTTAAAGATTGGTTACAAAAGCATGGCATTGGGCATAGAAAAACGAACACTTTTTCCCCAGAGGAGAATGGCGTTGCAGAGCGAAAAAACAGATCTTTACAAGATATGATGTTTGCCATGCTTGATGATGCTGATTTGCCCGTGTCTTATTGGGGGGAGAGCATGCTCACCGCGTGTTATCTCCAAAATAGGCTCTTTCATCAAACAATAGGTACAACCCCGTACTTTAAATTGTTTCAGAAAAAACCCAAAATTGACCATTTGCATGTGTTTGGATCAAAAGCCTGGGTATTAATTCCGAAACAAATGAGGAAGAAGGGAGATCCTAAGACCAAACAGTTAGTGTTTGTGGGTTACCAGGAGCTGGGAAAAGGTTTCCGCTTTGCTGAAGGGACAAATGGCATTGTGATCTCCAGGAATGCCAGTTTTTGTGAACATAGTGGTTGGGAGAGACTACATGCCAATACTGAGGTTTGGTTTGAACCTTCCCAGGAGCTTCATGGCTCTGAAGGTAAACATAGAGAATCAGAGTCTGAGGGGGAGGAAAGTTCAGATAAGAGCTCTCAAGAAAGTGGAGTTAGCCAAAGACCAGTTGCTAAGCAACAAAAGAGAGGTCGTAGTTCTGAGGAGGAAAGTGGGTCAGAAGGAAAATTTTCTCCCAGAAGATCTAAAAGACAAAACAAAGGAGTGCCTCCGGTGCGTTTTTCTCCAGATACTGCAAATGTGTTTAGTGTGATTGCAGAACCCAAGAGTTTTCAGGAGGTGTTACCAAAAGAGGCGGCAGAGCTCTGGAAACAGGCAATGGAGGAAGAGATGTCCTCTCTGAATGAGCACAAGGTTTTTACACCAGTAGCAGCGCCTGAGGGGGCAAAGATTGTAGGCTGCAGGTGGGTGTACAAACTTAAACCTCTGGTGACAGGAGAGTACAAATACAAAGCTCGTTTAGTGGCTCAAGGATACTCTCAGAGGCCTGGAAAAGATTATGACGAGGCTTTTTCCCCTACTGCTAAGGGGGACAGTGTAAGGCTGATTTTAACGCTTGGAGCAAAGAGAAAACTCCTGTTAAACCATTTTGATATCCAGACTGCATATTTACATCCATCAATATCAGAAGACCTGTATCTAGCCGAACCGCCTGGTTATGAGACAGGTTCCAATAGAGTGTTAAAATTAAACAAAGCTCTATACGGTCTCAAACAGGCTGCAAGATCTTGGAACAAATGTTTCCATGAGGCCTTAGTGTCATTTGGTTTCAAGCAGAGTACAGCTGACAATTGTGTTTATGTACGTGGTACAGGCAGTGATCAAGAGTTTTGTCTGATTTATGTAGATGATGTTTTGTATGCCTGCAAAACAGATAAACAAACTAAAAGGTTTGCAAAGCAATTGTCCAGTAAGTTCAAAGTGAAAGACTTAGGCCCGGTTAGGACATATCTAGGGTTGGAAGTGTGCTGGGCCCAAGACGGCAGCTGCCTAATTAGTCAGCAGAACAAAGTTAAACAACTACTGACTACATACAGGATGCAGGATTGCAAAGGGGCAGCGGTGCCTATGGATCCAGGTTTCATAAAAACACTTCATATAGATGAGGGTCCTGAATTTGAACATCCTGATGTATATCACTCTGTAATTGGAAGTTTATTGTATATAGCACAGTGGTCCAGACCTGATATTAGCTATGCAGTAGGCATATTAAGTAGATTGGTCTCAAAACCCACACTAAATGCCTGGAAAGGGGTAAAACAAGTTCTGAGATATCTCAAACAGACAATTGGCTATATGTTACAATTAAATTCTTCAGAGGATGAAATGTTGAGTTGCTACTGTGATAGTGACTGGGGAAATTTGCCGGATAGAAAGTCTGTCACAGGACTAGTCATAATGGTCGGTGGAGCTTTAATCAGCTGGCGGTCACGCAAGCAAGACATTGTAAGTGTGTCATCAACGGAATCAGAGTACGCCGCATTGAGTGAATTGTGCAACGAGGTGATTTATTTCAAGCATTTGTTAGCAGATTTAAATGTAAATTGTGGAGAACCAGTACAAGTTTACATTGATAATCAAGCTTGTATAACCTTAAGTAAAACAGAGGGTTTCAAATCGCGTTCCAAACATATCTCTGTAAAATACCAAAATGTACGTTGCTGTGTACAAGACAATGTAATCACCTGTACTTATGTATCAAGTGAAGAAAATGTAGCAGATGTGTTAACTAAACCATTGACAAAGATAAAGAACAAGCGAATGTGCAAGGGTTTAGGTTTGCTGGAAAAATGATCTCCTACATAGGTGTATTTGGTGTTAATTGTTCAGCAGAATCTGTGAGGGGGTGTTCAGTTTCTGTTAATTGGTTCTCGTGGGAAACTTACAGATTCTGGCTTCTCACAATTAACTCAAGGCAGTGTCAATTTACTCTTGGCAGAAAGCCCAGGTCTGCTTGACCTAGAAACTACTTACTCTGATTGGTTAATGACCAGCACTCAACTCTGTTATCAAGGGATTGCTAGCACAGTTTGGTGTTGAGGTGTGTTAGGAGTTGGAGTAGAAGTGCTGTGTATGGTTAAGAGAGAGAGAGAGAGAAAGAAAGGATTTATTTTGCTTTTATTTGTATGCAGAAACACTGCTGGTTTTATTTTTCCTTTTTAATAAATCCTGTAAATAGTTATTCTGAGTCTAGCTGACTAGTCATTACTGCCGCAACTAGCTTCCTCGCTGTGCAGGAAAACTCTGCTACGTTTGGGCTAAAGCCAATAGGGCTATGCCTGACACTTCAAAGTTCCATGAAGATCAACAATTTGCAATGGTGGACTGTGAACTATTTGAAGGTCACAGAATATTCATGAGGGTGACACAGCAGGTGGCAAGCAGCTTGTGCTGAAAGTAATGTGTGAAAAAGGAGATTTGTGACTCCCTAATCAGAAAGAATGATTAATAGATCCTTCCAAGAGATAAATTTTATGAGTGGGTTCTTTTAGTAAGCGATATGGAGGCAAAGAAATTGGCTCTTCAGCAGTGGCCTCATCATTGTGGAATGCCCTCCATAGGCTTTTTTTAAAAAATGTGTTTTTGTGCGTTTGTTTTTAAGCTACACCTCTCAGTCAAAGGTAATTTTCAGTCCCTCTAGTATCATCAAAAATTTTAGCCGTGGGCCGGTACACTATCCCTCAGACCTTGTGGCGGGCTGGAGAAGCAGCACCATGGGGGGGGGCTGAAAGAAGAGGTAAGGGGGGCTGCCGCCACTGCCACCACCACCGCTGCTGCTTCACTTGGATAGGCAGAGCGAGCTTGTCTGCGCCACTCTCTGGCCCACAGGAGCACCAGGGCGGAGGTAGCGGTGGGAAGATGAGCGGCGAGAAAGGGCTGGCTCCGGAGAGGGGCTGCATAAAATGGCGCTCACCCAGCCCAGCCCAGCCCAGCCCCCTTCCTCCTCTGGGCAGGGCAGGGAGAAGCCAGTAGGAGGGAGGGAGGAGGCGCCACCGCGGTGTGTGTGGTGCAGGGGGGGAAATGGCACAGCCCGAATGAACAAAATCCCCATGCCAATCCACAGATGGCGCTCACCCAGCCCAGCCCAGCCCCCTTCCTCCTCTGGGCAGGGAGAAGCCAGTAGTAGGGAGGGAGGAGGCGCCACCGCGGTGTGAATGGCGCAGGGGGGGGGGAAATGGCACAGCCCGAATGAACAAAATCCCCATGCCAATCCACAGACAGTCCGCGGGCCAGATCCTGAAGGCAATTGAGCCTCATCCGGCCCACAGACCTTAGTTTGCTGACCCCTGCTCTAGTACACCTACACAGAGGCCGTCCTTGTATTACCAGCTTGAGACTGAATGCTAAAAAGGATGAGCACTCTTGTACTCAGAAAGTCCAATAAAGAGGTTCTCCTACAAGTGCCACACTTCCCCTTCCCTTATTACATTCACCTTAGAACTCACTTCACCTGTAGGGTGAGGTCAACAGGGGCTAAGCCTGGTCATGTGGCTTGTACCAACTCAAGCACATCTGGCACATCCTTTACTCCTCTCTCTCTCCTTCACTGTATCGTCACTTAAACAACAAATTTAAAACTAGACCAGTCAAGAATAAGAAGCCAATAACAAAGGTGGAATTACACCTGTATAGTCTTCAGTTATTTAACTTTGTACAAACAAGTTAAGATGGTAGATATAGGACTTCGTTCCCTACTGCAAATTTAGAAGAATTTCCAAATGAAAGACAACTGCTACTTACGTTTACAGCTTCCACTTTGTATTCATCATCACTCTCAGGAGCAGAAAGATCTAACAGGATTGGACACACTTTATTTTCAATATCATATTGACCGACGAGACCTTGTTCCAGTAGTATGAGTAGTGAATCCTGGCTTGCTTTTCTAACCTATCAATGTACAAAGGAGAAAATGAAAACCAACAAGAAAGAATTTCCTCCCAATAGGCAAGAAATGTCGCAGCAGCACTGAAAATCAGAAAAGCTAATTCATGTTCTTCTGCATTTGATAACTTGTCACTGCCTTTTGTTTGTAAAAGTATTATTGTAAGGGCACTGTGAAAGAGGTCATCTCAGATTCAACTCAATCTAGCTCACACAGAATACATGTGAGCACCAGAGTTACATCCATACACTAGAACTGCTAGATAAGGTTTCCTGCTAGCTAGAAAGATTGCTTTTTGTGGCCTTCACACACGCTCATTTGGATATATTAAATTGGAAATGTTCAGGAACAGTCATTTCCTGAACAGTTATTGAAAGATAACCTCCAAACTCCCATCTGTCTTAGATTTGTACACTTGCTTTAAAGAGTATATCAGAGCTACAAATGACCTCCTCCCTATGCTAATTTATTATTATTATTAATTTCATTTCTCTACTGCTTTATATTTTTAAGAAAAATCTCAAAGCAGTTTACAGCATATTAAAACATCAATAAAACAATCCAGAATCAAACATTTCTGAAGAAAGTAAAATATAGAGTATATAGTCAAAGCAACAAAATTAACAGAAAACTAAAATATTATCTTAAAGATTTCAAAATAAAACATTACAAAGGAGGCCAACTACAGAATACATATTTAACACAAGCAAAGTTAACAAAAAAAATTAAGAGCTTTTGTCACATCATCACTTAATTTAAGATGGTAGAAAAAAGCTATTATCTTGGGTAGGAGATGTAACCAATCTAATGCAAGAACCTGAATGTGACTCAAGGAAAATAACAAGAGTGCAGGACTAAAATTGGGGGTTTCCTCACTTATCTGTATAACTGTTATTTATTATTATGGCAACAACCTTAAATCAATCCACCCTAGAACTATCTCATATACTCCAATGATATAAACAAGCCTCTTACTCTCATCTGCAGAAACAGCTACCACCTAATATATTTAATACTGTGCCAGTTGCACTGACTGCCTATTTGTTTCTCAGCTCAATTTAAAGTGGTGGTTTTGACATTTAAATCCCTAAATAGTTTGGAATCAGCTCCCATGTGAACCTCCTTGGGTTCTGAGATTATCCTTGGAGGCCCTGCTCTATTGCCTACCACCAAGCAGACTAGCAGATACCAGACACAGGGCCTTTTCACTGACAGCCCCATTTCTTTATAATTCTCTTTAAGCAGACATTGAAAACTGTATTGGTTTTGTTTAGCATTTTATTGATATTTTTTTAAAAATGTAAGCATAACACAAAATTATGCCTTTGTTTATGAGAAGAAGCCACAGCAAGTCTTGGGCTAGTGCGCTCTCCTTCCATTGCACAGAAAGGATGAGCTCGGAAACTTTAACTTTTGTTTTCGATTAACGGCAATCCAAACTCTGAACTATTGTTTATTGAAACAAACTAGCTTCATAAACTATTTTTTGAAGCTGGCTTGTTTCAACAAACCATAGTTAAGATTAACCACAGTTTGTCCAGGTTTGGATGTCACAATAAATTATTTAATCTAAAACAAAAGCTAAAGCTTTCAAACTGCTCCTCACTGCTATAGTGGAGGATGCCAGGGGAGCGTATGACACTAAGGCTCACCACAGCTCATTCTTGTTAAATCACAGTTTGCCACTGTCTAATTAAGGGTCTCCAATTGAAGGCATTGTTATTACCCTGGATAACAATCTTAAGTCCAGAATTTTTTTACCTGGTTATTTGGATCTGTGAGATATCTCACCACAATAGGCATAAGGTATTCAGAAAAGGAGGTAGGAAAGTTTGGTCTACTCTCCTGTAGAAAAATAGCAATGGGTGGGATCTGCTCCATTAATTCTGTCCGTACAGTAGGCTCTGGGGATTTAGAGAGTAAAGTAACAATATTAGTTGATTTGAAGGTGGTAAACATATGCATTCAATGAACAGAATGTCATGCATTTGAATATAGCAACTTCTATATAAGCAGCAAAATCTTTTGGAATTACAGAACTGAATAGTGGCACAGGACAATAAATTCATTTTTAGCAAAGTGAACTAAAGAACATACTTCACATGCAGAAGCTCATAGATTCAATCCAGGTATCTTCAAGTAGAGCTCTGAGAGTTTCCTGTTCACAACTCTAGAGAGCCACCTGGCTGATCTAGATGGACCATGAAACAACCACATGCAATAGTATATCAAGAAAGAACTGGAACTCTCACCTGTATCTTCAGCCAGTCGGACCACTATTGCCATTACTGTCAAGTAATCTTCTTCATTGTGACTGAAATCTCGAAAGACATCAAGTAGACCCCTGGCAATGATTTGCCTGTAAAGGCAATGTTTTTAAAAATAAGAAGAAGAAATATGTAACCCAAGTATTGTGAGCAATATAAAACAGCGGAATCTGATCAGTTCCATGTGTGGGTGGTCTACTGAAGTAAGGTGACTTTTTAAATATTTACAATGTAATGCAACATAGTACAGCTTGGAGATTTACATAACAGAAGCAAAAGTTGGCCACAATGTTCACTGTTCAGAAAAATATGAAAAACATGTCATAGGGTTGTACTAAGTATAACCTATAATTACGTCTTAAAACATCTTGTTGTGGCTGGTGCTTTGCTCTGGTACTACTGGAGTTTGGAGAATGGTAGGGTTACCATATGTCTGGGCAGAAATCGCTTAAAGGGAAAAAAAAAGCTCAGCAACTTTTGTGTCTGGATTTTCACTTTTTGAAATATGGCAACCCTAGAGAATGGGAATGTGGCTTCATTCACTGCATCTTCCCCTTTGCCATGATTCCCTTCTCCACTTCTGGCCCACTCTGACCAGAGAAAACATTTGAAGCTACGCTGTTCAAAAAGCTAAACAAATTATACCAAGGGATCAGAGTTCAAATTGCATCAGCGCCAGAGGGGTACATCCGCTTAGCTATTTTTTAAAAAAGAAGGCTATTGGTTGGTGGGCACAACGTACCAAGATAGCAGAAGTCCCCGGGGGGGGGGGGTGAGGCGCTTATGGATTTAATTAAGGTTTTACCTCCCCACCTATCTGAAGGTTTTTTCTTTACAATCAAGCAGTGCATACAATTTACAAAGTAAATAAAAAGCAAATTACAGGGAAACAGCTAAAAAGAGGAAATTAAAAGGAAGAGAATGAAGTCAGACTGGGATGTGGAGAAAGAAAGATTGTTTGAGGACAGCTGTTGGTGGCAGAAGCTTGCTACCCCATTCTAAGAATGTGGGGAGTTCAACCTACTGAACAGAAACACTGAATATGCTACATTAATACAACACAATATTATTCTTAAAAATATATGTGATTAAATCCTATAATAAGAATATTACCTGCACTGAACATCTATGAAAAGGAGAGAGAAATGAACATGACAACATTTGCATAATTATTTGCACTGTTACCTGTTAAATATATTATCACTAAAAGCATATTTTTCCAGACGTCCAAGCGGAGCCAAGTTATCCTGTCCTGGAATGTCCAAGAATGCAGTTATCCTCATGCTATCACAATCTGGTCCATAGTCTTCAAACCCAACTTGAAGGGAAGAAAAGTAGCATGTAAGGAACGAAAAAATAAGTTATCAGCATCAAATTATCAGCACCAAATATTTCTAGTGGGGAAACCTTAAGTCTTTAAATCTAATCCACAAAAAATAACAAGGTTGCCAATTTTCACAACCTTTGGCACTTCTTAAAGCCTAAACTAATGAGATTTGTGATAAAACTTTTAAGGAATTCACATGCTGTAACTAGCTCTTATTAGTGTAGAGACTGGCTTGGTAAGACTGGAATGAACTTGGAAATAAAGGGGTCAACACGCAATTTGGGATTCTCTAAAGTCAGACAGTTGGAAAAGTTGTTCAGTGAGGCACTAAAAGATATATACATTTTCAGTTACTAATATACTGATACCATAATATCCTCCTGATTTATCTTATTACATCTGTTTTATATCTTTATTTGGACCAAACATATCCAAAGCTTCTTCACAGTGTTTGAAACTCTCATTATTCTAGGCGCATTTTGTGACAGGGAATTTCATTAGCACAAACAGTTTCTGAGCTCTTGGTGCAGTACTGTGCCTTAGATTTCAGATTAAAACTGCAGAGTGGAAGGAAAGGAGGACCTTTTTCTGCCCTCCCACTACCAGTTACTCTCTGAAAACTGGAGAAGAAACCTCTTAAAGATATTATGGGGGTGGGAAGGGGAAGGACTAAACTATGTGAAAAATGAACATAATATTTTAGTTGCAGTTCGTTCATTTTCAGCTTTGCATTCTTTTTAATAAAAAAGCACGCCTAGACATTCCGTTGTTGCTCCCATAACCTAGGTTTAAGGTGCCATTTAGCTCCTAGCTTTCATATCTCAGCTTCTAACACTGCTTATTCATGAACTGCTGATTCACAAATCAGATTTGAACCATAACAGCTAAGAACAGTATTTGCACAGTACTTTTTGACTGTTCGGTGGAGTTTATATACAACCTCAGCTATCCTTACAACAAACCTGTAAGAAAAGGCAGCATTTTTATCTCCATACAGCAGGTGTGGACTGAAGATAATGGTTTGCATAAGGCACCGTAATAAACTCCTGGCTAAAGTGAAATTTGACCCAGGAATTTATCTGATCACATTTTTGGCTGTCACTTCCTCACTTAAAGGATCCTCTGTCTGAGAAACTCCCCTACTCAAGTATATTTCTGTCTGAGAAACTCCCCTACTCAAGCAAACTTGTGATTATTTATTTATTTCCAAAGAAGCTTAAGATACAAACAAAGCAATAAATGGGGGGGGGGGGAGAGATCAAACACACAATTTCAAAATCCACAACTAATGCAAAAAATAAAATAAAAAATGCTTTGGCCAATACAAACTAAATAGCAAACATTGAAAACCTGTGTAAAATAAATGGTCAGAAGCCAACTAAATGATGGAAGAGAGGAAGCCTGATACATCTAATCAGTGAGGGCATTCCCAAATTTCGGTGCCACCACTGAAAAGGCCTTGCTCTTTATACCACCCAAACCTCAATTAATAATGGGATAGGGAACAGGGCATCTGAAGCTGGTCAGGCAGTTACACTTAGGAAAAGCTTCAGGCTGACATTTTTAACAATAGGTTTCTGCTTGCTGGTCTCCATATTTAAAATTTGTTTGTAACCGATCAACCACTACCCTCTTGTATAACTTACGTTTGCTTATTGTAATTGCATTAGAAGTTTTCACAAAGGCAAATGTCATGATTCTTGCTTTGATTTATGGGTAGGGGAGGGGAAACTGTCAATTGAAGTATGGAGTGGAGGGAAAGAATGTGTTTCCTGCTGCTATTGAATTATTACTTAAACATCTCTATTGTGTATGACCAAAAAAAAGGTGCACGTTGTAAAAGGCAAAACTAGCCAATTATACTTGGTTAACTATTCAGTAAATAAGGTGCTTGTTTTGTCATCTCTGGAGAGTTAAAAATGAGATGCAGATGTACCAGCCAGTGTGCTCTATTGCAATTCCCAAACAAGAGGGATATGCTATGCTGTTTGGAATGTATGAGTATGTCTGCCTATGCATTCTCTCACAATGGCAGACAGATAAGAATACTTAGATGCAATGGAAAGGTTTCAGATCTTTAAAGATATACATCTGTTAGGTGATATACAAAGGCTGCAACTAGTTACAAAATGAGGAACTGAACTATTTAAATACAACTCCCAGATTAGGCCAAGAAACAGTGTTAGATAACGAAAATATTTCCCCTCCCTACGTCATGTTTTAACTAGCTGCACACAATTAATGCCTTGAAACTAACCTAAGAAGTTGGAAATCAATTTTACCCAACCCAATTTCTTGTCTTAAATAGGAGCCAACAGGATGGGTGGACCAGATGAGTAAGAGAACTGAAAGCCAGAAATGTGTGTTGTATGTGAGAGAAGCCAATACAATCACTAGAGATAGGTATGATATAGCCACTGCAGTGTGATTTTTAAAAAATGAAAGATAATGAGTCACCTTTTTCAAAGCAGGCACAAAGTGGAAAAGCTGTTAGTTGGCAAAATTATGAAGGAAAAGCAGAGATTTTGCCATAATGTCTCAGGACAAAGGAGTGAAATGCAGTAGCTAAGCATCTTTGCAAACTATGTTGCCAAAATGGCTGACCAAGGTGAAAGCTACCTTAGATGTTACTTTTCCTTAAAGAAAAGAATGGAGAAATCTGGGTGTGGGGAGGAGAGAACAGGCATATGTCGCATCTGAAAAACCAGAATCTAACATACAAATCCTGCAGAACTGTTTTGGTTTCCCCTGCCACCCTTCAGTACTGAAGGCATGCCAAAACTACGTACCTCCATGCAGCTAGGGGAAGCGCCTCTGGAAGCAAAGAGCAAATGAAACCAGCAACAGCAATCTGCTGAAAACAGCAGAGCTGTGTAGCACTCCTGCCTACATTCTCACTCTTTCCTCTTTCACTCTAGGAAAGGAAATACAGAAGTGGCTAAACACAGCTGTCTTTGCAGCCATTCTTTCTGTCCTTGTAGAAAATGAGAGTAAGGTAGCATCCCAGACCAGGGGCAGTTTCAATCCATCTCTAAGGGAAGGTGCCTTAGTACTTCACTGTGCTGCTACAGCTGATGTCTACAAATATTTATTAAATATGTGAAAACATGTATATCCCACCTTTTAGCCCCTCACTGCCAAATTACCACTATTAGTATGCAAAAAAAGAAATAAAAAGAGTAATATTGGTGAATATCTGGGAACCTTGTGACAAATGCAGTCCCATTTTAGGATAGCTCTCCCCCCCCCAAGGTCCTAGGCATTAAGCAAGAGGTGAGGAAATTTTCCCAGCCTTCTATGCAATCTTCTGGGGCCCACATGTGAGCAGTAAGTACAGCCGGAAGCAAAAGTGGATGGAACAACTTTGTGCAGTAAATCTGTTTCTGTACACACTCACACATTCTGCTCTATCCCCAAGAAGTATTACCAGAGTTCAGGGATAAAGGTAAAGGGTAAAGGGACCACTGACCATTAGGTCTAGTCGTGGCCAACTCTGGGGTTGCGGCGCTCATCTCGCTTTATTGGCTGAGGGAGCCGGCGTACAGCTTCCGAGTCATGTGGCCAGCATGACCAAGCCGCTTCTGGTGAACCAGAACAGCGCACGGAAACGCCGTTTACCTTCCCGCCTGAGCGGTACCTATTTATCTACTTGTACTTTGATGTGCTTTCAAACTGCTAGGTTGGCAGGAGCAGGGACCGAGCAACGGGAGCTCATCCCGTCGCGGGTATTCGAACCGCCGACCTTCTGATTGGCAAGTCCTAGGCTCTGTGGTTTAACCCACAGTGCTACCCACTCCTAGTTAAAAACTCCCAAGGAGTGTCCACAGCAGGACTAATGAAGGGCATGGCTTGGGAGAGACCCAAGGGACAAGCAGAGTGCCCTCAAGGGACATATTTGGCACCCAGGCCTGAGGTTCTTCTTCCCTTCTCTACATGTCTAGTCAGGAGTAAGTCCAATTGAGTTGAATGGGACTTACTCCCAGGTAATTGGGTATATGACTGCAGCCCAAGAAAGGAAATTAGCCTGCTTTTGTTACTAACATCTGATAAAGTAAGCTGGAATCATGCAAAAGAGGGCAGGAGCTCCAAGAGGAAACAGCAGTACAGTGCTGCCTGTATCAACCCCATGCTCCACAATACTGACCACAACTTAGTTGAAATGCAACCAAAGCACAGGTGAAAGCAGCCAAAAACAAGGAAAAATAAAACAAACATTAAGCCGGTGGAAGCTGCAGGTAAAGCAGGAAGGTCCCAGGGGTGGGTTATAACAATGTAAAAATACAAGATTGTAAACCGTTTTAAACTGATTTTAAATCAGAAGAATATCAAGCTTTGACAATTTCCCTTTTACTAAAATGAATTTGTGCAACCTTTTTAAAATACTGGCTGAATGATGGTAACATTTACAAATATGACAGATATGCAGGAACAAGACGCATTAGAGCAAAATAAGAACTGCAATGAACTGAGTGCTCTCTTGGGATAAAAAAATCTTTCCTGCCCCAATTCTATACAGTCTTATCTGGGAGTAAGCCGAACTGAATACAGTGGGACATACTGTATTTCAGAATAAATGTGCATATGATTGCACTGCATGACTTTTTTCGAGACATCTGGAACCAGTCAGAAAGAAAGTTCATTTTTGTGTATTTAGAAGTAAAAAAATTAGTAATCTTATTACTATCTTATATTTTTATGCTGTGAACTGGCCTCAGATCTACAGATGAAGGGTGGTATACAAATTTAATTAATAATAGTATAATCATCATCATCATCATCATCATCATGTCCACTGAGCCCTGCAACAAAGAGATACCTAAACTGTTACTGGCATGCAGAAGTGTAAATTCTTCCACTGAACATTATAGCAACTTGTGGCTTCACTGCACAGCCACCATAACAAAGGTCATGCAAGCTGGTTCTTATGCTGAGCAGAAAACAAATTTGTACCAGTAAATTGGAAATGTAAAAAGCTCAAATAGTTCCTACACACTTGCATATGCTATATGGATTTGACTGCTTTGTGACCGTGCCACATAATCGTGAAATTAAAAAGACACCCATTTAGTCATGCAGTTCAAAACCATATCTCCTAAAAACACATAGTGTTTTTGTCACAAAAATGAATAAACAGGATCTATAAATAAAACTGATGCCCTCAAGTCATAAGCACTGCATGGCTACAGAACATATATGTGTATGCATTGCCGGGGTATTATGCAGAAAATCCAACACAAGATTTAAAGCCTAGATATATCTTAAAAAGAGAAAGCACCCCCTTTTTCTTACAAATGAAAAGCCTTTTACCTTATCTTGGTTAACATTTGGTAGAACCTTCAGAAGCTTCAAGGGCTGCATCAGTCCATCCCTTCCCTAAAGCATCCGCAGCCCATGTCTAGCAAATCTGAACTCAATAGGTGGCAAGTAAGTGACCTCCTAGTCTCAAATCTCAATATGGCAATAGGGGACCCATTTCAGGGATTTTGCTTATACAGTACACTCAATGGTCAGTTACCTGTAGTTCTCATCTAGCTACAAATCCATCTAACTGTACATCAGCTAATTCAGATTTTACCAGCTTGCCAGCAAGAGTATCATATTGGGCTTCATTGAAAACCTTGCTAATATTTCATCCACAGCATTTCCTTGTCTAGCAAGCTAGTAACAATTTTTATTTTTTTTTAAAAGCTTGGTATGTTGTGACGTATTCTTGAGAAACCCCTGGTAGTGTTTTGTAATCATAGCAACCAAATGTTAGCAGACTAACTACTTAAATGATTCACTCAGGAACCTTTTCAGGTATCAATGTCAGACTGTCTAGTCAGCAGTTGCCTGCATCCTTCACACATCCCACCTTGAAGATGGGAACACTTGTCTGCTTTCAGTCTCATGGAACTTCACCTGTTCTCCAAGAATTTCCCAAAATTGCAAACAGAGATTCCGAGATTGCATTTAGAAGTTGTTTCGGTATCCATCTAATAAAGTTACAAACTGATGTTACAAACAAATGATAGGTTCTTTTTAGCACTTCAAATTTGATGGCTGTGGCACATTGAAGTCAAGTTTTTGACTGTAACTAGGGGATATAATTTCTATTGAAACAAACAGGAGCTAGGGTTTCTACTATTTTTACTTTTCAAGTCACAAGACTCTCATGAAAATAGCTAGAGTTGGCAGCTTTTCTGCTGTAAGTAAGTATGTCAATATAAATGGAAACAAGAAGAATCAAAAAATAATTTCACAATCAAGTTCTCCTTCCAAATGACTAAGAGCTGGCAATTTTGGACAAGACAACAAGCACATTAAAAAGAAATTAAGGAATTATGAAGTTGCAAGGGACCCCAAGGGTTATCTAGGCCAACTTCCTGCAATGGTGAAAACGACACAGAATGCAATCCAATACATACAAAAAGTAAAGATAGCCATAAAGGTAAAGGGACCCCTGACCATTAGGTCCAGTTGTGACCGACTCTGGGGTTGTGGCACTCATCTCGCTTTATTGTCCGAGGGAGCCGGCGTACAGCTTCCGGGTCACGTGGCCAGAATGACTAAGCCGCTTCTGGCGAACCAGAGCAACACACGGAAACACCATTTACCTTCCCACCGGAGTGGTACCTATTTATCTACTGGCACTTTGACATGCTTTCGAACTGCTAGGTTGGCAGGAGTAGGGACCGAGTGACGGGAGCTCACCCCGTCACGGGGATTCGAATCGCCGACCTTCTGATCAGCAAGTCCTAGGCTCTGTGGTTTAACCCACAGCGCCACCATGCTGGCCTACAAAACAAGTTCCAAAATCTTTATTAGGCAAAACCAAAATATCACAAAATAGTGTGCTGTCTTTCAAGTTCTCTATAACTCTTCATCAGGCTGGATGATAAACCAGGGCAGTTGGGGGCTGGCAGAGTTGGTTGCTATCTTTTAAGATGGAATCTGGAAATTTTATTATCAGCTATCACAGATACCTTGACTTTTTGTGAGACTTGAAAGATAATTAATGTAGTCACTCTAAAACGACTCATACTGTCCAAAGTGGCTGAGGCAACCCAGTCATATGGGTGGGGTACAAATAATAAAATTATTATTACTGTATTACCACAAATATGAGATTCCCCAAGACAACGTCCCCTCTAAATGCCATGTTCAAATATATAAAAGGATGTCATATAGAGGAGGGAGAAAGGTTGTTTTCTGCTGCTCCAGAGAAGCGGACACAGAGCAATGGATCCAAACTACAAGAAAGAAGATTCCACCTAAACATTAGGAAGAACTTCCTGACAGTAAGAGCTGTTTGACAGTGGAATTTGCTGCCAAGGAGTGTGGTGGAGTCTCCTTCTCTGGAGGTCTTTAAGCAGAGGCTTGACAACCAGATGTCAGGAGTGCTCTGATGGTGTTTCCTGCTTGGCAGGGGGTTGGACTCGATGGCCCTTGTGGTCTATTCCAACTGTATGATTCTATGATTCTATGAAATGCTAGGTAAAGCTACTTAATTTGGCTTGTGATGACTTTTTATCTAGCACACCACCAAACATTAATTTTCAGCTCTGCTAATGTACAATTGCTAAATTTCTCTTGATCCCCATTTTCTATCTATGTGTTTGGCCTAAGAATGGAGACAGACCTCAGAAACAGCAATTTTTTGTAGTTCCAGCGATGGGGGTCAACCATCACCATCTTGTTCCCAGTAGGGCTTCATACTCTATACATACCTACCTAGCACTTAAGCAGTCTTATTTCAATATTTGCTATCTTCTCCCCTATCTAAGACCAGATGTAGGCACAAGGGGTGGAATCAATGTGGCACGTAACTGATTAATTACTTCCTCATCTAAAACTCACACAATTAATTGATTAACAATTTTAATAGAGCGACAGCGACAGCTCAAGACTCAAATTGCATGCAGTGGAAATACTGTCTTTTGAAAGCATCATATTGCATGACAAACGTAAAATGCATGAATGTTACAATGCGATAATTAAAGGTCATAGTCACCTCAACAAATCTGACTCTAAAACGACTCATAAAGAGTGGATTCTCACATAACTACCATCAAGTAGAAACTATAGCTTTTATTATCCTAAGGAGCTGAGGACGGAGTGCTTGGGGCATTCAACATTTTATCCCCACAGCAACCCTATGAGGTAGGCTTAGATGAATGACTTGACATTAAATTTCCTGACAGCCAAAATTTGACACCATGTCTTCCTAGTCATGTAATGAAGCAGCTCAGTACATGACTTTCCCACATACTGTAATGTGTATTATTTCCATACCAAAGCTGCCTGGAGACTATCCATGTGTTGACCAGCTCCCAACTTTACAAACAGAGCTCTCATGTAAGAATCAGTTATTAGGGAATATTAGCATTAAACTTCTAGCCTGTCCTGGGTGCTTTTTTAAAATGCTAGAAATGCTCCTAGTCCTGGAGGGTTTGCAGATTACCATTATTCATTACCTCAGTCAAGTTTCAGTACCAGGAAGTCAATTTCTTTTCTTTTCATTTTATTATTTGTACTCTGCCCAACTGTCTGGGTTGCCCCAGCCACACTGGGTGGTCAATGAGTTATGTTTAGGAAGTTTTTCATCCCCTTTGGTCCCTGCTTTTGTACAGCATACAGGAAAGCTTTCCAGAATTCAGCATGATCAATAAGGAAGCACAATAATCTCAAGGACTAGCTATTTCTGAACAAAAGTCATGTGCAAATGGAAACAAAGTGAACAATGCAAAGCTCAGAGTTATCTGCACATGCATCCTTGTATCACGTCTGCAGATTTACCTAAGCAATAAGTATCCTTACAAAAATCTAGACTATACATTGCCCAACTGAAGTTTCTGCAAGACAAGATGGAACAAAGCTATGCTAGGTTTGCATTCATCAAAGAACAGCTCCTTCAAATGACAGCTGCAGCTGGATGTTTTCTTCTAATATATTTGCTACTGCATAAATTTTTTCTGTCAGGCATTTTACAATGCTAACATATCCAGATGAGATACAGCTTTGTTTTCTTAAATACACCAATGATGTTGCTTATTTGGCACATGATAAGCTTATGCTGACCTGAATGAATGTGTACTCCCCCCCCCAATCTCATCTGGAAATCCTAATATGTTCACAATCACCACCATACACACTAAATGCTAAGTATTTTAACAGACTATGTTAAAAATAAAATAAAATTCTGAGTCATTTGTTTCCATGAACAGCAAAAAACCACACAACCAACTCCACTTTTTAACCAGCCATTAAAAAGGGGGAGGGGAGGCTGCATCTCCTCCCCTATCAATATTCTGCCAAACTCTCACCATGTCTTAAATATATGCAAATATTTAAAAATATTCTTTAACAGCCTTATAATTAAAACAAAAAATAAAATAAAAATCTGCATCTCCTCTGAGTGGTCAGAACAAAACAGAAACACACTTGACAGTCTACCTGTCAGAACTACATTGTCTCCGCCAATGTGGTCTAGCCAAGGCACTTACTTCGGATCGTAGTCAGCAGAATCAAATCAAAGCTCCCTATTTTAAAATGCATTTTATTTTTTCTTCTAAAAATAACAAATCCCCTTAACGGTGAAAGCCGGGGGTTGGAAGTGGGGGTGTCCCCGTGGCCGGGAAATCACCATCTTTGCCATCCTTCCCCCCCCCATACCCATAATCTTGGGAAGGACGTGAGGAGGAAGATAAGGGACCTTTCAAAAGGAAGATAATAAAGATACGTGGCGATTTCATTCCTACTTCCCCCCCTTTTCTTAAAAAAAAACCCAAAATGAAAACAGTTACCGTACTCACAATCATCTAAGTCATCCTGCAAATCCACAAAATACAAAGGGATCCCTACAAACAAAAACAAAAGAGAGAGATGGAGAGAGAGAGAGAGAGAAGAAAGAAAGAGAGAGAGAGAAGACACAGGGGGTTGGTGCGTTTTCTTTCCCTTGGAGAGGAGTCGGAAATATATATATACATTTTAAAAATAAATAAATATACACGATCATCATCATCCGCAAACAAGCCAGCAAAAGAGGGCCGACGCTTGCGCCGCGCTTAAGCACCCTCTGATGCGTGTTTTTAAGGAAAAAAGACAAGGCACACGACAATAATAATAATAAAAAAGGAAAACCATTTTTTAAAAAACGACATAAACCAGAGAGAGCCCTTGCGCGCCTCCTCACACCCCGCACGAAGGAGCAGCAGGAGCGAAAGCCACTTACCGGCCATTTTGAAATGGTCCTGGGCGAGGAGGAGGGAGGAGAGCGGCCGAGGAGGGAGAGGAGGGACCGGGCCGAGGAGGAGGAGCAGCAGCAGCAGCAGCGGCCCGACGCCCCGCCGCCCGGCCGCCTCAGAGCTCCAGCCTGACCCGCCACTGAGCCAGCGCGGCGCCCCGGGCCCACCTCAGCCCCAGGCCCCAAGCCCCGCCGCCAGCCCCACACAGCGGCTCCCCCGCCGGTGCCCCTTTCGCCCCGGGGGGCAGAACAGCGAGAGAGGCGGTGTGGGGAGGCGTGACAGCCCAGGCCCCCTTCTCCTCCCCCCCGCCCGTGTCGCCGAAAGGGGTGGGGAGTCTGGGTCAGGTGATTGTCAATGGGCCGTCCAAGATGGCGCCCGGCTTGTGGAGCCTGAGGAGGAGGAAGAGGGTTGTTTTTTTTACCTGTGACTTGGAGCTGAGGGAGGAGGAGGTTCGGAGTTGATTTTTTTTTTTATTTTGGGGTCATATCCTCCCACGCCTTCGTTTTATCCCTGGGAGACTTTCGCTTGAAGGGTAGACTTGAGGAGGAGGAGGCGGCGTTGTTTTTTTTTTAATTTTAATTCCCCGATGTGCGCCTTTTTCCGAGGAGGGGCTACCCGGGCTGTGCCTGCTGCGCTCCCGACGAGAGAGCCGTCTCTCCTTCCCCAGCCATGGCTCTGAGGGAGCTCAAAGTTTGCCTGCTGGGGGTAAGTAACAGGGGAGGGAAGTTGGGGCTGGAGAGGTGGCGAGTGTCTCCCTTAACACACACACACACCCATCCCCATAGAAAGGGGGTTTTGGAAATTTGGCCTTTTCTTCTTTCCGTGAGCTACCACTTTCCACAAAGGGACTTTCAAATGCGGGTTTCCTACACGCCTGAACATATATGGTTACCAGGGGGTTGGGGTGGTGTCGGGGGAGATGGGGGTCTACCATCCCATTCCTGTCTACTCGGAAGTAAGTCCAAATGTGATACAACGAGGTTCACCACCACCACCTTGGGATTGTGGCCTTGAATTGGTTGGAACTCGGTTGCAGCTGTTCCTGTTTTGTTTTGCTGCGATACCGCTTTTGTAGTTTCTGAGCCCAGGTATAAGCCCCACGTCCTTCAATAGGACTTACTTCAAAGTAGATGTACACATTTGTGTGTGTGTGTGTTGTTTTTCCTGCCAACGAGAAGTATTTTGCTCGTAGTTATGAAAACTGTTGCTCCTTTATCCTCCTCGCTGGATGGTCTCCGCGCCTACCCCTTGTTAAAAACCAAGAAACTTCTTGGGTTTGTTTGTTTTTTGCACAACTTGAGTTTCAAAACATAAAGACAGGGAATCCTATAAGCAAACAGAAGAAGCCTCTATTGACATCTAAGGATAAACAACATCCTTTCCTGTAAAACTGAGAGGAGGTATTTAACCCTATAGATAGATGCTTACCTGAGAGAAAGGTTTATTTCTGAGTAGGTGTGCATAGGATTGCTCTGTAAAATACTTTCTCTCTTAGTAGGAGAAAGAATAGAAACCAAAGTTTCAGAGACTTCTCTCTTTTCGCAATACTTTTTTGCAGCATTGAATCAATCATGGAGTGTGTTTTTCCCTTCTTCCTGACTTTTTTTCAGAAGTAGGCTTTGTTCTGTGTATACGATTGAGAAAAGAGGCTTGATAAGATAACATTGACATCTGCTATTTCCCCCCCCCTTCAATCCATTCTGTGGTTGGTAGTATATGTCAAACTAGTGTTAAAATTTAAGAATGTTGGAAAAGGTACATTCTTCATATATTTTCTGACAGTAGCATTCACAAGCTCCAGAATCTTTGACTACTTTAAAATTACTAAGCAGCTTGAATGTTTAGACTTGTTATTGGATTTTTATGGCACAGGCTGTCCACAAGACTTAAACCACTTCCTCTCAAAATTTGCCATTTGTCACAATGAAACCATATAAGCATATGCTTAAGATCCATACATGGCTGTGATGCTTTAAACTATGGAGTTTTGCCTAGTTGATTGCTTTGTCCTTATTTATACAGTACTGAAGAAGAAACAGATCAAACTATCTAGTCTGTTCATAGCTGCTTAGTATTCTTCCAGGTGTGTTACTGGAACTACGTATAGCCTTTCATTAAATAGGGTGGGGCTGTATGAGTAAGAGGCATTGCAGAAACTCTCCAACTAGTTTAGCACCTTTGAGTTTAAGTTGTTTGCTATACACATCATTGAGTAGAGAATGAGAGCTTCTCTTAAACATGCAAATACAAATGTTTCCACAGTGATGCAGATTCACTGAAAGCATGGAAGCATCATGGTATTATCTAATGCTGGCTTTTTAATATGATAATAGAATCAGAATTGTAGAGTTGGAAGGGACCCAAGGGTCATCTAGTCCAACCCCCTGCAATGCAGGAATCTCGGCTAAAGCATCCATGACAGATGACCATACAACCTCTGCTTTAAAACCTCCAAGAAAGGAGAGTCCACAACCTCTGGTGAGAGACCGTCAAAGAGGTCTTACTGTCAGAAAGTTTTTCCATATATTCGGTTGAACATCCATGAGTATTGCATCCATGTACAAAATACTGTCCAGTCTTGGATAGAAAAATCCAGCACTGCCATTGGTTGGACTGGAGTAGGCAATGACCACCTGGTTATATATTTACAGCTCAATACTTGTCACTTAGAAGAAAGTCTCATTGATGTCAGTGGAACTTACTTTGAAGTAGCTCACAGTGTATTGTGTTAAACTTAGGTGCACAATAAAGGTAAAGGTACCCCTGCCCGTACGGGCCAGTCTTGACAGACTCTAGGGTTGTGCGCTCATCTCACTCTAGAGGCCGGGAGCCAGCGCTGTCCACAGACACTTCCAGGTCACGTGGCCAGCGTGACAAGCTGCATCTGGCGAGCCAGCGCAGCACACGGAAACGCCTTTTACCTTCCCGCTATAAAGCGGTACCTATTTATCTACTTGCACTTAAGGGTGCTTTCGAACTGCAAGGTGGGCAGGAGCTGGGACAGCGCCACCCGCGTCCCACTTAGGTGCACAATAGTAAACCTAAAATTATGAGGACCAGTTTTCAATAGGTATAGAGTTCTTTATCCCACAAGCAATTTTTCAGTTCAGTCCTAATCCTTGAATCTGTGCTGCTGAAGGGGCTTAGGGTAAGGCAGTGGGCGGAGTGCTGGAGCTGAGGTGGTATCTATAGGAAGCTACCACTAGCATTCAGAAAGCCTCAAAACAAGGCAAGCACAAAAATTTGAAAATGCATAAATATTTAAAAAACAAGGCAAGCGCACAGCTGCTTTGGATCCATAGGATTCAAAGCCTGATGGATCCCACAAGGGGCCTGATTCTCAGCTGCACCAGCCTAGTTACCAAAAAAAATAAAGCCAAAACACCTTCCACCTGGACTGGTGCAAGCTGTAGGGTTGCAGATGCGGTTGTAGATCTGCTATTCTACTTTGCTGCAGGCTAGGGTTGACTGAGTTTGCTTTTTTAGGAAGCTTAGGCGTGTTCTTTGTTCATAGTTAAGATACATTTTCCCCTTCTACCCTTCTCCACTAGTAGAAAAGTTTTTGTAAAATAACTGAAATTTTTCCATACTCTGTTTAACTGTATCAGAGGTTGAAAAGCTACTGCCTGTTCAGTCAATTAAAAAAGGGGGGAATTTTATTAAGCAAAGTTAACATAGGTAAATTCAAGAGGACTAACTTTTCGTTACAACAAACAGAAAAACAGTTGTATGACACTTAAACAGATTTATACCAAAGTTCGCCATTTCTGTTCTGAAGCCCTTGTCCACAACTTGTCTTATCAGTGGGCCACCTGAGAAAAGGAGGGATAACTTTCTGGCAAGATCTGTCTCTTCACACTACTTTTTAACTAGCCTGGGGAGGCCAGGCAGCACATTTCAGTTGGCTTGATTTGGACCAGGGATTGCCATTTGCTGATTCAGACTATCTCAGACTGATGCAGCTGGAAATCAAATGTGGGGAGTTCTTTTGCCCAGAAGTCAGCAATATTTGAAGCTTTGTTTCATTCTCTGGCTATAAATAATAATTTATCTTATGGTTAATTTTCTTTTTCACATTACCTCCCTCATATAGACAGTTAATTGGAGAAGGATCACCCTTCATTTCAATGTGTTGTTTGACTTAGTAGTTGCTTGAGTTGCATAGCTTTTACCCAAACTACACCATCTATCGGGCAGGGAAGTTCTTCACTCCTTTCTGTTTGTGGTAGATTTATATTATAGGGAGTGGTTGTGGAACTATTCAGGCACATTACAATCGTATGATAAGTTGGGAGGAAATGTTCTGCCCTGTTCATTCTAGTAAAACTAAGTGTTATAATACCCCATAGTTCAGGAGAGGAAAATAACTTCTAGCTACTACCCTAAAATGTGAGATTGAGTTCTTGATTATTTCCAGTGTGGTGTAGTGGTTAAGAGCGGTAGTCTCGTAATCTGGGGAACCGGGTTCGCTTCCCCGCTCCTCCACATGCAGCTGCTGGGTGACCTTGGGCTAGTCACACTTCTGTGAAGTCTCTCAGCCCCACTCACCTCACAGAGTGTTTGTTGTGGGGGAGGAAGGGAAAGGAGAATGTTAGCCACTTTGAGACTCCTGAAGGGGAGTGATAAAGTGGGATATCAAATCCAAACTCTTCTTCTATAAGGTAAAGGTAAAGGTACCCCTGCCCGTACGGGCCAGTCTTGACAGACTCTAGGGTTGTGCGCCCATCTCACTCTATAGGCCGGGGGCCAGCGCTGTCCGCAGACACTTCCGGGTCACGTGGCCAGCGTGACAAGCTGCATCTGGAGAGCCAGCGCAGCACACGGAACGCCGTTTACCTTCCTGCTAGTAAGCGGTCCCTATTTATCTACTTGCACCCGGAGGTGCTTTCGAACTGCTAGGTTGGCAGGCGCTGGGACTGAGCAACGGGAGCGCACCCCGCCGCGGGGATTCGAACCGCCGAACTTTCGATCGGCAAGTCCTAGGCGCTGAGGCTTTAACCCACAGCGCCACCCGCGCCCCTCTTCTTCTATACATGTTTCAATTGTAACAGCTTAGTTTAGTTTTAAACACATCTTTTTGCTTGTTGTAATACTTTTTATTTTATTTTTCACAATATCAACATTGAGGAGAAAGGAAACTACCATTTCATCAAAATTTAGGG